TTAGACGCCTATGGATGCCTTTCATCTAAGGTCGTTCAAAGTTTAAAAAATTGTTTGGGGGTCTCGCTCTGTCGCCCAGGCTGGAGCGCAGTGCTGAGACCATAGCTCACTGCAGCCTTCACCTCCTGGGCTCAAGCGATCCTCCCGCCTCAGCCTCCCAAGTAGCTGGGATCCTATGTGTACACCACTATGCCTGGCTAATTTTGAAAAATTTTCGGTAGAGATGAGGTCTTACTATGTTGCACAGGCTGGTCTCAAACTCCTGGGTTCAAGCGATCTTCCCACCTGACCCCTACAAAGTGCTGAGATTACAGGCATAAGCAACTGCGCCCAGGCAAAGTCAGATTTGTTTTCACCTGAGATCTCCAACTGCCATGGAAAAGTCAAATCATATTCTACAATAACTCAATTAAGTGGGCAAGTAATTTCTTTTCCTTCCTTCTCTTCTAAGTGCCTGAAATACCAGAAATACACGATAAGGGCTTCTAAAAACTACCTAACACAATAAAGAACGGTAAGAATTTACTGCATAATCAACAAGTTAGGGGAAACCTGATTTTGCATTAAAGGTACATATTCTGTTTCTGTTAAATAGTAGGAAGGACAAGACACCACTGGAATCAGCTTTTTTGTTTTGAGACGGAGTCTCACTTTGTCTCGCAGGCTGGAGTGCAGTGGTACAATATCGGCTCAGTGCAACCTCCGTGTCCCATGTTCAAGCGATTCTCCTGCCTCAGCCTTCGAAGGAGCTGGGATTACAGGTGACCGCCACCACACCTGGCTAATTTTTGTGTGTGTGTGGATTTTTAGTAGAGGCGGGGTTTGTCCATGTTGGCCAGGCTGGTCTCAAACTCCTGCTTTCAAGTGATCTGCCCATCTCGCCTCCCAAAGTGCTGAGATTACAGGTGTGAACCACCACGTGTGGCCAGCAATGTCTTTTCTACGGAGGCAGCAAACCTTACCTCTTTCCTATGACCATTTGGATAATTCGGTTACTCTATGGACACCAAGTTTAGGTTTTTCAGAGATCAGGCTCATTTGACTAATTTAAACATTTCTCCATTCTAAGCATACGTGAGATAAATGTTCCACACAAAATTTAAGCAATGAAACTTTTTTTTTTTTTTTTTTGAGACAGTTTTACTCGTTGACCTAGCTGAAGTGCAATGGTGTAATCTTGGCTCATCGAAACCTCTGCCTCCTGGGTTCAAGTGATTCTCCTGCCTCAGCCTCCCAAGTAGCTGGGACTACAGGTGCCTGCCACCACGCCTGACTGATTTTTAAATTTTTAGTAGAGACAGGGTTTCACCATGTTGGCCAGGATGGTCTCAAACTCCTGACCTCATGTGATCTGCCCACCTCGGCCTTCCAAAGTGCTGGGATTACAGGTGTGAGCCACCACGCCTGGCCTCAGTTGCCTTTGATTCAGAGGGTGAATTCTCCATAATGTCATGGACAAGAAAATAATCTCGCAGGCATTAGAGTTGACACTGAGAGTCCTATTTAAAAACGTGAGCAGTGAGGTGGCTCACATCTGTAATCCCAGCACTTTGGGAGGCCAGAGCGAATGGATCACTTGAGTCCAGGAGTTTAAGACCAGCCTGGGCAATATGGTGAAATCCCATCTCCACAAAAAACAGAAAAATTAGCAGGGCACGGTGGCATGCGCCTGTAGTCCCAGCTACTCAGGAAGCAGAGGCAGGAGGGTCCCTGGAGCCCAGGGAGGCTGAGAGTGCAGTGAGCTGGGATTGAGCTATTGCATTCCAGCTTGGGTGACAGAGTGAGCCTCTATCTTAAACAAGCAACAAAAGTTCCCACTCAGTTCCTCATCTCTGGAAAGTCCCTTCAGTTTACTAGTGGAATTCAGAGTGGTATAGGTAAAGCCACCAGAAAGGCACAGCTCTAATCACAGCTGTTTCTCAAATGCGCTCATGAATCGCTGAAAATTTAACAACCCAGGTAAATTTAAAAACCTAAGAAAAGGGAATTTAGGGAGTTATTTGGCACACAGTAGGCACTTAACAAATACTGGCTGTATGTTACTTATCCGTTGGAAATAATTCAACTAATATTTGTGTACTGAAGTGTTTTTTAAGCAGCTCTTCAAATATATTTAGATAACTCACACATTAAATTCTAAAATATAATTTTGATTAAAAATGCATGCGTCAAGGCTGGGTGCGGTGGCTCATGCCTGTAATCCCAACACTCTGGGAGGCTGAGGCGGGTGGATCACCTGAAGTCAGGGGTTTGAGACCAGCCTGGCCACCATGGTGGCCTCATTTTTATTAGAAACCCTGTCTCTAATAAAAATACAAAATTTAGCTGGGCATGGTGGTGCCTGCCTATAATCCCAGCTACTTGGGAGGCTGAGGCAGGAAAATTGCTTGAATCTTGGAGGTGGAGGTTGCAGTGAGCCAAGACTGTGCCACTGCACTCCAGCTGGGGCAACAGTGAGATGCTGTCTCAATAATAATAATAATAACGCAGGTATCAGAAAGTAGCACTAACTTGCTGAATCAGGTTTCCAGTGGAGAGTGCAGAAATGCTAGGAAACCTCATCTGCAGAGTCAGAATGAAAGTCATCTCTCTGGTTACTGTTGATTGGGGCACTTGATTTGCATCTGTGGGCTCCTGAAATGATATACAAAATCAGAAGAGTTGGCCGGGCATGGTGGCTTACGCCTGTAATCCCAGCACTTTGGGAGGCAGAGGCAGGTGGATCCCCTGAGGTCAGGAGTTTGAGACAATCTGGCCAACATGGTGAAACCCTGTCTCTACTAAAAATACAAATTAGCCGGGCGTGGTGGCGCAAGTGCCTGAAGCCCCAGCTACTCAGGAAGCTGAGGCAGGAGAATCACTTGAACCTGGAAGGTGGAGGTCGCAGAGATCACACCACTGCATTCCAGCCTGTTGACAGAGCCAGACTCCGTCTCAAGCAAACAAATCAAGAGTTGTCTTTATGTGCATTTTTCTGGACAAAGGAGCCATAACTTTCATTGAATTATCAAAGGCTTTGTGAGCCAAAAAACCAAACCAAACCAAACCAAAACCGGTTAAGAATCACTGCTACTGAATGAGATTCCAACAGGCACACGGATTATTCAATTCACATCTCCTTTAGACTTTCAGGCCCCGCAGGAATACGAGAATTCCCCAAGCTTAAATTACTCTAATATCCAGTAACAACTCTTTAGAGTCATGTTATTAAAAAAAAAAAAACAATTTTTACAAAGGAACTGTATAAAAATAGACACTTGGGAAGATTTGAAATGTACGTGTCCATCGCGTGCAAGTGTGTTCTTTTTCTTAATCACTTCCTCTGGGCTTTCTCCAGTTAGTTTCACTTTCTCAGTTCCTGGGATCTATTCCAGGCGGCCACAAAGATAGATTCCCACAGCAGGGAAAAGCAACTATGTGAACAAGATTTCAGACGAAAGAGAAACCGCAAATGATCGGTTCTGGGCTGATTGCAAAAATCAGAGGCTGCCTTTCTTGATCATCTGAGAAATCTTCTAAGTCCCTGGGTGCCCTTTCTGGTAGAAAAACCCACGTTCTGCCCGGGCGTGGTGGCTCACGCCTGTAATCCCAGCACTTTTGGAGGCCGAGGACGACGGATCACTTGAACCCAGGAGTTCGAGACCAGCCTAGCCAACATGGCAAGACCCCATCTCTGCAAAAAATTAGCTGGGTGTGGTGGTGCACACTTGTCCCAGCTACTCTGGAGGCTGAGCTGGGAGGATGACCTGAGTCAGGGGAGGTCGAGGCTGCAGTGATTCCTTATGGAGTCACTGCACTCCAGCCTGGGCAACAGAATGAGATCCTGTCTCAAAAAAAAAACAATCAAATAAAGCCTACATTCTTACAAGACCTTCAAGGCGGCAAGGATGGTTATTCTCTTAGCTGGAAAGGTGTTCAAGGATACCCGCAGTAGGGAGGAGAGTAGCCTCATCAAATAGTGTCCTCATTGGCCCCAGACTCCAACAGAGAATCATCTGGAGACTGCACCCCCACAAGTCCATGACGGGAGGCCATGAATTCAGCTCCCTATGCAGACTCTACAAGACAGTCTTTGTGCCCTGAAGTTGGTTATAAATACTTAACTCCCCAGGCCAGGCTCAGTGACTCATGCCTGTAATCCCAGCACTTTGGAAGGCTGAGGCGCACAGATTAATTGAGGCCAGGAGTTGGAGACCAGCCTGGCTAACATGGTGAAATCCTGTCTCTAGTAAAAATACAAAAATTATCTGGGTGTGGTGGCGTGCACCTGTAATCACAGCTATTAGGGAGGCTGAGGCATGAGAACTGCTTGAATCCAGGAGGCAGAGGTTGCAGTGAGCTGAGATCACGCCGCTGCACTCCAGCCTGGTCAAGAGTAAGACTCTTTCTCAAAAAAAAAAAAAAAAATTTAACTCATCAGGAAGAACCCTGAAGGGGAAGAGGCTCTAATCCCTAGAAGATCCCTAGTTAGGCCTCAGATTTGGGGTTGTGAACTCCTAAAGTGTAGAAAATGGCATGTGTTGTGGTCTGTTTGGGCTTTAAAAAAAAATGGCATGTGTGTATTTCTGGGAAGAGGCTCTATACTTTCAACAGGCTAAAGTGGCTTTGTGTCCCCAAAACACCGGGACCCCAGTGATCCACGCACCTGCAATAACTCTTTCCTTTTCAGAAAACCTACTTTTCCCCCTCAATTCCTTCTCTTAGGGTGTTGCAGAAATCTATTTAGAAATCCTCATAGGGAAAAATCTCACAAGCAGAACTTGTCCCGCAACTTTATTGTCAAAAAAAATTCTGTGTAAACATAAATACTTTTCAACCCAACTTAACTGTAGCAAATATATCCAATTTAAAAAGTCACATGTACACAGACGGGGTGTTTTACCTGCCCTGTTTCTGAAGTCGTGTCGTGGAGGAAAAGCAGAGCATGAGGGATCCCAGGAGGACAGCCCTCGTCTCAGGCAGTGCTGATCTTTCAATAAGAAAATACCAAGCATCAAACATTTAGATTTTAGAATATTTTAATGTCCATTTCTTCAGTGAATGCATTTTGAAATTATTAGAATTAACAATTTAAAAAGAGCAGATCAAAGGAAATACGGAAAATGCAGACAGTCGGTTCTTGCTGATTCAATTTCAGATTCTAGGCATGGTGTGATTTTCAAAACAACCAATTAAAAAAGCAAAACTCCTTACCTCAAAAATCTAGAAATTCAAATGCAGATGTGTCTTTGGAAACTACAAATGATTACAGCCCATGTAACAGGAAGCACGCGGCCTTTGGCTCTCTGATCGTGTGCAAATGTGCAGGTGCAGCCCCCGCGGGTGACGTCAGTGTGGATGGAGTCACAGGTGCGGCACAGCCTGTGGGACTCTCAAGCTATTTGAGGGTTTCATAACTGATGCTCTACATTTGTTTGCATTGGATAAAACTGCGTGTGCTTGTTTACCGTATATATGGATAGATAATTTGATCTGAGCTGGGGCTGAGGAGAAAACAGCAATTGCAACTATTTACACACATTCAATGCTGAAGTATTGCTTCCTGTCCTAAGTTCCTAAGAGGTATTGCCACCCTGAAGAACGACCCATCCTGTCAACGCCACTCGCGCCAGCTGCTTAGAAACCCCGCGTCTCCAGCACGGTGTGTTCACTGCCAACAGACGGAGATGCACGGCGTTTCCGCCGCAGAGATTCTGTGGTTCTACACTGAGGTATGCTTCGGAGCGGGGGACAGGTAGGACCCGAGGGGCTTCGTGGCCCAGAGAGAGCATCTGCACTGGTTGTTTAGGAAGGCTCAGGGTGTTTTTAAAGACAACATTAAGCTCTGGGTGAGACTGCACGGGCCTGAACCAGACTCCAGTTTGCAGCTCCATGGGTTCCGGGGGTGAGGGATTCGCAAACACCTTTGTGGTAGGGGAAGGAAGAGACTGATGGGGAAGAAGGCTGTGCGGAGATGAACTTTGCCGAGCACGTTCCGAGTGAGACAGCAAGGACATCAGCAACCGCCCAGACCCTCAAAGCTACACAGACTGGAGGGGAAGGAGGGGATGACATTCAAATACACACCTTAATACTGATGGCAGAAAGAGCGTCATGTGATCGCGATCCCCACGAACAAGGAAAGCATCAGGTAGTGTTTTTTAAGGAAAAAAAAAATATGTGGTGTTTTTTTTTTTACATTCTTTAGAAGCAAGAGGTATTGTCACAACCACCCTTTCTTCGGTATTGGAAGACCAGCAAACTGACAGTCACACCTGACGGGAAATCTTACAGCAACTGGGGTTGCCCTGGACCCCCTGGACGGTGGGACCCCAGGTCCCGCTGTCCTGCTGGGTGGCTGCCCTGGGCGAGGCCCCTGGAGAGGTGGCGGGTCAGAATCGTGACTTCTTCATGCTGGAGAGGGCAATCTGTATGTCTTTGGGGAGGAGTGATGATGGGCACTGATGCGGGCATGAGAACAAGACAGTGGGATTTAAGAGAAGAAAGCGAAATGCATGGGGACGTGGGGCAAGACTGACAAGGAGCGTGCCCAGGGCCTCATCGGCATTGCCGGGGGGTCCCTGGAAGAGTGGCTACGAATCCAACCGGCAACTCGGGCGAGTTTACTTCTACGTAAATTTCAGACTCAATGCGTTAAAACATGATGGCAGACAGTACCTGCAGCCGAGTGCCCAGAGGGAGCTTCCCTGGGTCTCCTGTGCCACCCTTGGGATTCTGCCCCCCACAGACCCCGAGTCTGCATCCAGATGACTGTCTCGGGGGATGGTCTGAGAACTCCGCCTCAGAGGCTGGAACTTGCTTCCCTGATTAAATCCTGCCACAGACAGTCCCTGTGCCACCCAAGCACAAGAGGGGGCCGAAAAACTTCTTGGATTTGTGGAAGCCAAGATGGCACTGGGGCTGCCTACCCAGACCCCCGTGGCTTTGAGTGAACCCCGGCAGGAAGGAGCCCTCGTGGGTGGCAGGGGCAGCTACTCCCCCAGCCCCAGAATCGCACTGGCTGTGCTTTGGGGTCTTGCTTAGACCCATCTTGGAGTGGGGAGATTGGGGGCAGCCCCAGGTGGCCGAAACACAAAGAGACATCTGGTCACCTTCCTAGAAACTGCCCTCCCCTGTGGCTACTTCCCCCAACCCTGAGGACCCAGCATCCCGTTCCGGAGCACACATGCTTCTGCATAAATATATAAATAAATAAATGCAACCTTGGATGTTTATTTGGTGTTTCCCTCTCCTCCGATGAGTCAGCGTCCAGGACCAATGCCTCGACTCCTGATTGGAAGACCCCTGGGTGGAGGGTCAGGGTGAGGGGCGACTCTGAGACCCCCGAGGCATTGTGCCTGGCTGGTGTTTGCTGCCTTGGCCTGCATGCATGTGGCAGAGTCCCTGAACCTGCTCGGGGCAGGGAGTGAGGCCCACTCAGCCCACGGGGCCCACGGCTCGGGAAAGCGCAGGTGGATTAGTGGGGGTGGTGGGGCCGTTGTGACGTGCCCCCTTGGAACCCCGTTGGTGGATTACTGGCACTTTATATCAGATTCATGAATGCAAGTGTGTGTGCGCATGTGCTTACGTGGAGAGGTCAGGTCGCCGGGGAACACTGTGACTGAGACAGAGACAAAATAAACTCAAAAACGGCATTAGCCAGAGAACCAAAAAGTGTTCCGTGGGAAAAAGCAGTAAAAATGAGATCTCAACCACAGCTTTTGTTCCAAAAGTCAAGTAATACCCAAAGCCATGATCTCCACTGGCGGCCTCTGTCCCGAGACTCCAGGCCGAGGCCAGCCCTGAAGGCACTTGTTCTCCACCACGTGCTGAACGGAAGACCCGGAGGCAGGCGGGGTTTCCAGGGAAGGGAGCGAAGGGAAAGAAATGGATGAAAATGAACCCTGAATAACTGTGATCCACACAGAAGTTAGGGCTGAAATGACCACATAAAACCACGTCCAGGGAGGGAAACTGTGGCGCTTTGGAAGCACAACAGCCAAATACAAATATTATTGTGTTTCGACAAACAGAGCACCTCGGGCAGCGGGTGGGCGCCCCTCACACACTCTTTGAAACGTTGAGCTTGGTGAGTTCATTGGCTTCTTCCATGCCCGTGTCGTCACAGTCGTCTTTCTCTATGGCTTTGCCAAACTGACCCCCTTCTTCTGCTTTGATGGGCTCCTTCCAGGGTCTCTTGGGGGACAGGTGAGCATCCTTGGCCTGCGAGCCGCTGTCGGAGCCCAGAGACGTCTTGTCCGCATACTGGACAGAAGGCACCAGGTTGGCAATCTCGTCCGTGGGAGACCGTCCGATGCTGCCATCCACCTGGACGCGGATGTCTGGGGAGATGGACAGCTGGTGCTGCGGGATGACCCCGTGGTCTGTGCACTTTGGGTACAGGTAGGTCTTCATCTGGCCTTTCCCCTTGACGTTCACGGTCCCTCTGTAGTCGAAGTCGTAGCCCATCTTGCTCAGGACGCGGTAGCTCTCTTCGCTCACCTGGATGCGGCACTCCACGCCGGTGGTGTCCATCCTGCTGGCGATGTTGACGGTGTCCCCCCAGATGTCGTACAGCAGCTTGGTGGTACCGATGACCCCCGCCGTGAGGGGCCCGTGGTTGAAGCCGATGCGGAGCTTGAAGTTGAACCACAGCATGTTGTTGTTGAAGTCGTCTACCACGTGCATCATCTCCTTGGCGAACTCGAACAGGATCTGCAGGTGCTCCTGCGGGTGGCTGCCGTCCTGTGCCTGCGCGGTGTTCAGCCCCGACGCCGCCATGTACGTGGCTCCGATGGTCTTGATCTTCTCGATGCTGCTGTAGTCCGGCTTGCTTAGGAGCTCGTCGAAGTCCCCGATGAGCTCGTTGAGGACCCGGTAGCACTCCTTGCCACCCTCGTAGTTCTCCTCGTAGAACTCGCTGAAGTTGACGATGCTGGCGAAAATCACCCCTCCGCTGTCGTGGTTCTTGGAGTAGGTCTGGGAAACCTTCAGCTGCTCGGCCACATGGTAGGGGATGATGTTCCTCAGCAGCCAGTCCGCCTGGTCCCGCATGCTCTGGATCTTGGTGCGGTGGAGGTCCGCTTCCACATCCCCATGGTAGTGGAGGCGGTAGCTGACTTCAAATTCGCGGTTCAGGAACCAGACCAACAAGAGCAGGAGAAAGAAGACGAGAACCACCTCCTGGCCGATGAGGCTTGCCGGCCGCCGGAGGTCACGCGGCAGCGAGCTATTGCACGGGTTCCTCTCAGAACTGGAGAGCAAAGACACGGGAAAGGGACAGGTTACTGCTCAGCGCTTCCAAGTTCAGAACAGCCCCGCTAGCTATGCAAAGCTTCGTGGAGTCCAAGCCGTCAACAACCTGAAGCTGGCAAGCCGCCCGTTCCTGGTTTAGGCTGGCTGCAGATGTGGAGGGATAAAGACTGAGTTTTGAAACTGATTTATTTTATTTTGTTAAACAGATTCACTGTATTGCCCAGGCTGGTCTTGCACTCCTGGGCTCAAGCAATCCTCGTCCCTTGGCCTCCCACAGTGCTGGAATTATAGGCGTGAGCTGCTGTGCCTGGCCCTGTAACTGATTTCTTTACTAAGTACTTGGTCATTCTTTTTTCTTTTCTTTTTTTTTTTTAATACAAGTCTTTAGCTTCTTTTAAAAGTCTTTTCTTTTCTCTCTCTCTTTTTTTTTAAGAGACACTGTTTCTGTTGTCCAGGCTGGAGTGCAGTGGCACAATCATGGCTCACTGAAGCCTCAAACTCCTGGGCTCAAATGATCCTCCTGACTTAGCCTCCTAAGTAGCTGGGATTACAGGCATGTACCACCATACCTGGCTAATTTAAAAAAAAATGTTTGAAGACATAGGGTCTTGCTTGTTGCCAAGGATGGTCTTGAATTTCTAACTTCAAGCCATCCTCTCACCTTGGCCTCCCAAAGTGCTGGGATTACAGGGTTGAGCTGCTGTGCCTGGCTAACATCTTTTTTTTTTTTTTTTTTTTTTTTTTTTTTTTTATAGATTGAGTCTTGCTCTGTTGCCCAGGCTGGAGTGCAGTGGTGCGATCTTGGCTGACTGCAACCTTTGCTTCCTGAGTTCAAGCGATCCTCCTGTCTCAGCCTCCTGAGTAGCTGGGACTATAGGAATGTGTCACCATGCCCAGCTAATTTTTGTATTTTAGTAGAAACAGGGTCTCACCATGTTGGCCAGGCTGATCTCAAACTCCTGACCTCAAGTGACCTGCCCACCGTGGCCTCCCAAAGTGCTGGGATTACAGGCGTGAGCAATTGCACCTGGCTTTTTGCTGAACATTTTGAAAGTAAGTTGCTGACATGACACTTTAAATATTTCAGTATACATCTCCTAAGAATAAGGATATTTCCCTATGTAACTACAATATCACCATCATACTGAAGAAATTTAACATTCTCTAATATATTTGGTTCTTAGATTTCTAATCCAACAAACCTGTCCTTTACAAATAGCTTTTGTAAGTTCTGTACTCTCTACCTGTATAAAAAAGTTTGACAAGACACCATTTCCCCCCATTCTGGGTTAGTTCTGTTTCGCCCAAGTCACACAGGACAATGTTAACATTTTAGCCAGTGCTGTGATTTTCTCATGGTTGTGCCGTGTTCTAGCACATAGATAGCCCGTAATTTAACCAGATTCCTCCGGATGGAACTGGGCCTGGGTCTGTCTTATCCAACCACAAACAACAATGCAGGGAATATTCTTCTCCCCCTATCTTTGAGTGTGGAAGTGCTAAGTCATTTTAAATATTGCACATTTAGAATTTCTTTAGAAATTTCCAAATTGCCTTTATACCAGGCTGAATTAATTGGTCAGAGGGTTGCAGATTAGCACAGTTCCTTCCTTTTCTTTCTTTCTTCTCTCTCCTATCTCCTTCCTTCCCTCCCTCCTCCCTCTCTCCCTCTCTCTCTCCCTCCCTCCTCCCTCCCTCCTCCTTCTCTCCCTCTCTCTCTCCCAGGCTGCAGTGCAGTGCTGCAATCTTAGCTCACTGCAACCTCCGCCAATTCTCGTGCCCCAGCTTCCTGAGTTGTGCGCACCACCACACCCAGCTAACTTTTGTATTTTTTGGTAGACACAGGGTTTCACCATGTTGGCTGGGCTGGTCTCAAACTCCTGACTTCAAGTGATCTGCCCACCTTGGCCTCCCAAAGTGCTGGGATTATAGGGGTGAGCCACCATGGCCAGCCGAGTAGCACAATTTCTTAAAGTTTGTTTTGAAAATATACTGTTTTTTTTTTTTTTTTTTTAAGAGACCGGGTCTTTGTTACCCAGGCTGGAGTGCGGTGGCACGATCCTAGCTCACTGCAGTCTTGACCTCCCAGACTAAAGCAATCCTCCTGCATCAGCTGCCAGATTAGCTGGGGCTACAGGCAGGCATCAGCACACCTGGCTAATTTTTTGAACTTTGTGTAGAGATGAGGTCTTACTATGTTGCCCAGGGTGGTCTCAAACTCCTAGGTTCGAACAATTCTGCCTCTGCCTCCCCAACGTGCTGGAATACATTTTTTTCCATTAAAAAATACTACATACTCATCATAGGAAATGAAGGAAAAAAGCAGACAGAAAAAAAAAAGATTCATCCATCATCCTGCCAGCCAGAGGCAATCACTCTTAACATTTGTTGAATTTCCTCCTAGTCTTTTTCTTTTTTGCAACACACTGACTGTTCTGCTCATGTAAATGCTGTGCCCTGATGTATTCCTCCCATGCAGAGTAGGCCACTTGATTTTACATAATAAAGGGCTTGGTCACTAAATAATTATATGTCCAACTGGCAAGTCCTCAGTTTGGACAGCTCCGTGACACTGAAGATCAATTCTTTTTCTTTTAGAGATGGGGCCTCGCATGTTACCCAAGCTGATCTTGAACTCCTGAGCTTGAACAATCTGCCTGCCTTGGTCTCCTAAACTGCTGGGATTACAGGCATGAGCCACCATGCCTGGCCAAAGCTCAATTCCTTTTTTTTTTTTTTTAAATTAAGTTATTCCAATCTTCACTCATGCTTCCTATAGAATATTAGAAGGGACCTAATTCTTATCCTACCAAAGGATTTTAAAAATCCCAATATCTTAGACCTCACCTCTGTTTTAGAGCCTAAACATTTAGACGAGCTCTAAATGATCCTTGTTTTTTTCCTTATGCCTCTAAGGCCCTCTAGAATTCTTTTTGGATTTTTGATTTCATATCCCAGTGGGTGTCACTAGGACCAGCAGAGACCAAGCCTGTGGATTGAAAAGGAAGATTTATGCCAACAGTGGCAGAGCCGTCTTTGAATGATGATGAGGTTAAATTGGTAGGGTTAGAAGGAGCCTTCAAATACTATTCCTCAACCTTCTGTTTGATCATTTTTTTTCTACTTCTATACCAGGTATCAATATTAATTACACTACTCAAAAGCCCATACTATTGCAGTTTATTCCTCTTTTTATTTTCTTGGTTTCTTTACTTCCTATTCAGTACCTCTAGAAGTGCTGTAAAGTTTAGCCTTGTTGCGTCTGTCAAGGTCCCTCGTCACAAACACAGGAAATATGAAATTTGAACCAGGAAATATGAAATTTTCCAAGGGGCAGTCATTAGCTATGTCAATTCCTTTTTTTTTTGAGATAGAGGTCTCGCTCTGTCGCCCAGGCTGAAGTGCAGTGGCGTGACCTTGGCTCACAGCAACCTCTGCTTCCCAGGTTCAAGCGATTCTCCTGCCTCAGCCTCCCGAGTAGCTGGGACTACAGGCATAAGCCACTGTGCCTAGATAATTTTTACATTTTTAGTAGAGACAGGGTTTCACCATGTTGGCCACGCTGGTCTCAAGCTCCCAGCCTTACATGATCCACCTGCCTTGGCCTCCCAAAGTGCTGGGATTAAAGGCCAAGACACCACGTCCGGCCAAAAGCTCAATTCTTTAATCAAAGTGTTGGTTTTACTAACTTTGACTTAGGATATTAAAAAATAACGAGCTTGACCTATGTGGCTGTCATGGTCCTCTGTGAAGTGCAACCCCAAAAGCCCTGGCCGTGGAACAGAGAACCCCTGGGCCTGTCCTGGTGGAACTGCGGGGGAGTTCTGGAATCTTGGGCAGGCCATGCCGTCTTTCTGGCTCTCGGCTTCCTTGAGTATAAGCTGTGAAGAGGGACTGGCAACCTCCCTTTCGGTCTAAGACTGCTGTCCTTGGAAAGGCCTGCCTGCCAATGTGAGCTGGCTGGCACCGTGGAGCTGGGATTCGGGGAGGATTCCCACCATTCCTTGGTAAGACGGCTCAGATGCCTACGCTGTGTAAAGGAGGAGGTTTATGCCCAATATCCGCTTCCCTGCTGGAGGTCTGGAATTTAGGCATGCGCTAGGAAGAGGCGGCCGACCTGAACAGCCCCTAATGCCACTCTGGACGCCGAGTCTCTAACGAGCTTCCCTGGTAGACTGCATGTTACAAGTGGGCTGGAGGAATTAAGCCCATCCCCTGTGACTCCACAGGAGGGGACTCCTGGAAGCTGGTGCTGGCTTCCTCCAAAGTCAATTCACGCGCCCTTCCCTTTGCTGACTCTGCTTTCTGTCTTTTTAGCTGTAACAAATCACAGCCGTAAGAGAGCCGATTGCGGAGTCCAGAGTCCACCCTGAGCTGGTCTTGGGAGCTCTGGGGCAGTTTCTATGACTCAGTGCCTATGACCAGGAACCAAGAGTCCCCCGTGGGGAGACACCCTGTGCTTCCCTGACTCATTTCGCAAACTGTTATTGAAACAAATGACATGACATGTCCTACGTCTCAGGTACTGAGTGAGTAAAGTAACCATTTGTTACAATGAGTCAAGCGTAGGTATGTCCCGCTCCTTGAGCCCTCTAACTGGTTTTTAAATAGAGTAGGAAGAGAATGTGGACTGGGGGAAGGTTTGTGAGCCCATCTCATTGGGTTAGGAGCTGACCTTTCTTTTGGTTTCTCAAAGTGGACACCGCGAACAGTTCCCCCTTATGAGCGGATGCCACCAAGGTCCAACATCCCCGTTACGTCAGGGGAGTGTTTCCAGTCTCTGCGGTGGAAACAGGAGCCTGTATCTGGGATTCTCAATGGTTATTGCCTGTGCAACTCACTCTGATCTGCTGGAGCCGCAGCCAATGGCACGGCTGACTCTGGAGATGGGCACAGGCCAGGCCCCTCCGGGCAGAGAAGGAACAGCAGCCGTGGGCTAGTGCCAGAGGGAGAGGGAAGCAGAGCACACCGTGTGCTTTTCACCTTTGCTTCAAAGGAAGAAAAGTCATTATATGCAGCATGTGCACTCAGAAGCCAAGGGGGCTGCCTTGCACCAGAAGGTATCTAACCAACAGGTAAGAGGGCGACTTTCCAGCTATAACCTGTGTTTCCTATTCTAATACCGAGGAGCAAAGGGCTAATCCTATTCCTAAATCCAAACAGCAAAGGTCCGTTTCAAAAAGAGGAATTTCTTTCTTTTTTTTTTGGAATAGAGTCGCGCTCTGTCCCCCAGCCTGGAGTGCAATGGTGCGATCGTGGCTCACCGCATCTCCGCCTCCTAGGTTCTAGCAATTCTCCTGCCTCAGGCTCCCAAGTAGCTGGAATTAAGGCACCTGCCACCATGCCTGATTAATTTTTGTATTTTTAGTAGAGATGGGGTTTCACCACGTTGGCCAGGCTGGTCTCGAACTCCTGACCTCGTAATCTACTCACCTCAGCCTCCCAAAGCACTGGGATTACAGGCGTGAGTCACTATGCCTGGGCATTTTTTTCTTTTTTTGAGACACAGTCTCACTGTGACATCCAGGATGCGGTGCACTGGCACCATCACAGCTCACTGCAGCCTCGAATTCCTGGCCTCAAGCCCACCTTAGCTTCCCGCGCAGCTACAACTATAGATGCGTACCACTGCACCTGGCTAATTTTTTAAATGTTTTGCAGAAACAGGATTTCACTACGTTGACCAGGCTGGCCTAGAGCTCTGGGCTCGTGTAAGCTTCCCGCCTTGGCCCCCTAAAGTGCTGGGATTACGGGCGTGAGTCGTCGAGTCCAGTCTTTTCCTTTTCCTGTCTGCTTTGATTTTCCCTCCCTTCCTCTCTAATTTGCCCATCTTTTCTTTGTGGTTCTATTTATTATTTGTAAGCCTGGAGGGTTATCTCAGTCTTAGAGGCTTGAAAATGATTAACTTCTACTTTTTCTAGACCTTACATGGTTTAATCTTTATTTCTGACTCTTGAATTTATTTAGAATTTATTGTGATATTTATCGTAGAGCAAGGGTCCAAGACTGAGTACTGTGGATTTCAAAGTCAGTTATTTAAAACATTTTACAGAATAACTTTTTCCTTTGATTTGTGAGATTTCCTTTGTTACACGCTAAAGTCTTACAGAAAATTACAATGACTTTTATCTGTCTTAATAAAATGAAAATAATTTTATCTTCCCGATGAGACGTTACAGCTGTGATGTATTCTAGCAAGCAGGCATTTTCCACTTCCTATTATGAGGACAGACATGCTGTTCATTTTATTCCAGACCCTGCTGTTTTCAGGAAGCTTAGAAACGAGCGGGGTAAGAAAATCACTATCATTTATTCAGACAGAGGCGCAGCATTAAAAGCTTACCTGAAATTCTGTACGGCGTCAAGGGGCGAAGTTAATACAGAACTGAAATTAAAATGCAGAAAAAGTATTATTATAAAGAGCAAAGAAGGCACTCTGCAAGGCAACCTGAAAAGGGTCGAGCAAGCCATGCTCCTTTTGTGGACGTGGCTGAGACACCTGCTTCTACCTTTTCCTTCACGTCTGTGTCTCTCAATGCTGGGGGCAGTTCCCTTGGAAAAGTTGAGTTTCTGTCTTTGTGTACCACCCGCATCCTCCTGGTGAGGCTTAGCAGCCGTGATGGGATTAGGGACTCCGAGGGTCTCACGTGGATGGAGGAGTTCTGAGCTGAGAACTTCACCCACCATCCCTACCCCAGATCTGCTATTTGAACTCTGAGAGCAAAGGTGATGGAGGGGTCCTTCATCACTGTGGCTGTCCAGCTCCAGGTGGAAAAGCCCCGCAGCCACGACTAAAGGTCCCTGTGAATGTCTGATGAGGGAACTGTGACGGATCTAATCCCAGCACTTTGGGAGGCCGAGGCGGGTGGATCACGAAGTCAGGAGATTGAGACCATCCTGGTCAACATGGTGAAACCCCGTCTCTACTAAAAATACAAAAAATTAGCTGGGCATGGTGGCGCGTGCTTGTAATCCCAGCTACTCAGGAGGCTGAGACAGGAGAATTGCCTGAACCCAGGAGGCGGAGGTTGTGGTGAGCCGAGATCCCGCCATTGCACTCCAGTCTGGGTAACAAGAGCGAAACTCCATCTCAAAAAAAAAAAAAAAGCAGTTTGCTGTATTTCTTTTATCTTCTTGAGACGGGAATCTTGCTCTGTCACCCAGGCTGGTGTGCAGTGGCAGGATCTCAGCTCACTGAAACTTCTGCCTCCTGGCTTCCAGCAATTCTCCTGCCTCAGACTCCCAAGTAACTGGGATTACAAGCATGTGCCACCATGCCTGGCTAATTTTTTTGTATTTTTAGTAGAGATGGGGTTTCACCATACTGGCCAGGCTGGTCTCAAACTCCTGACCCCTCTGGCTCTCTTAATAACTTAGGGAATCAGAATGTTAGCTCTCCTGCAAGGACCAGGAAGAAATGTCCCAACGTGACTCTAAAATATTCTGCACACCTAAACCCTCTGTAATTGTAAGCAGGCATTTTTTCAATACACACTAATAGTGAAATACTTTCAGAAGCAGTTATAGAAAAAGCCCAGAATTTGGGAGAAGTTTATTACACGAATGGAAGTTTAACGGGTTTAAGATATTACAAATATTTGCATGAACTGTTCACTGCTTACATTCTGCTAGCCAAGGCATTATGTATTTCCAACAACGTATTTAGTTGAAAAGGCTTCAACTACCCTGAAGCCAGTTGCAAATGTGCAATAGGCAATTTGGGACTTATTTTTAACAAATCAAGAACCAAACATTATTCAGTTAGTGAAACACACGAAAGACAGGGATCTCACTGGATGTCACTAATGGCCAACATATATATATGGAGAGAGAGATAGAGAGTCTTGCTCTGTCACCCAGGCTGGAGTGCAATGGCGTGACCGCGACTTACAGCGACCTCCATCTCCTGGGTTAAAGCAGTTCTCCTGCTTCAGCCTCCTGAATAGCTGGGACTACAGGTGCCCGCCAACATGCCCAGCTAATGTTTGTATTTTCAGTAGAGACGGGTTTCACCATGCTCGCCAGGCAGATCTTGAACTCCTGACCTCGTGATTCACCTGCCTTGGCCTCCCAAAGTGCTGGAATTATAGGTGTGAGCCACTATGCCTGGCCACTAATAGCAAATATTTTAAATATAGCACCCATCACTGCCATCCTGTATGTTTTTACATTGTTTATAGCATAATGATGAGAGCGGGCTTATCCCCTGAGGTCCACCGGCCTCCCTGACTGCTGTTTCTATGTCTGTGCCATCTTTCCTTGGCACCTATCAGCGATACAGTTTCGAAGGCCAACATCCTCCTCGGTATATAGAGGATTTCAAAATAAAAGACCTGTGTCCCGTGACCGGTCATGGATGCTCTGTGTCATGGCGTCACATGGGGAATTATTTTGACAGTATTTATTTTATTTATTATTTACTTTTTTTTTTTTTTTGAGACAGAATCTCACTGTCACCCAGGCTGGAGTGCAGCTCACTGCAACCTCCCCCTCCCAGGTTAAGCGGTTCTCCTGCCTTAGCCTCCTGCGTTCAAGCGGTTCTTCTGCCTCAGCCTCCCGAGTAGCTGGGATTACAGGTGCATGCTACCATGCCTGGCTAATATTTGTATTTTTAGTAGAGGCGGGTTTTACTGTGTTGGCCAGGCTGGTCTTGAACTCCTGACCTCAGGTGGTCCGCTTGCCTCAGCTTCCCAAAGTGCTAGAATTAACAGGTGGAAGCCACCATGCCTGGGCTGACATAATATTTAGAAATAAGGCCCAGGTCACTTGCAAGATCATCCTACGTCTTGCCCTCCTCCTTCCAGGCCGTGACCTGTCCTGGATCATGAGCCCTACCCTACTCAAGGACGGTCAGCACCAGCTTCCTCTCCGCCTTCGCGTCCACCTGCACCTCCGCCCTTTCACGGCCTTGACTGTCTTCTATGAAATCCTTCAGGTCCTACTTTCTTAGATTCCAGTCCATTCATCAGAAGTCACCTCAAGTCTGTGACTGCTGCATGATGCCTTCCAGGATATCTACATTCAAATGTTCAGAGGGCTGTTCTAAATAACACTCTTTTTCTTTCTTTTGCATATTACGCCGAGGGCATCTCATTAGCTCTTTGACATGATGTGTGTTGAGAGTGATTTTTGGTCATGATGGGAAACAACTCTATCGAGGCATGAGGAACAGTGTGCAAACGGAGCCAACCCCTAAGCGAGCTCAGGCATGGTGGCCCCGCACCCAGGTGCCCACACAGTGCTGGCCACGTACCTGTCTGGGCACAGGGAGGCATAGAGCAGGAGCAGCGGCCCGGCCCCCACGACGGTGGCAAGGGAGGACCTCATCCAAGAGCTGAGCTGGCAGAAGTTACAGTAGTGCACGACGGCGATCAGCGCGGCTGAGCCTGTGAACACCGGGAACTGCAAGAGGGAAGGGTTAGGATGGCTGCCGGCCCCACCGCCCCCACCCCGCTCACACACCCAGGCCTCCAAAACACTCACCACTGATCCATGTTTCTTTTTTTTGTTTTTGAGACAGAGTTGCTCAGGCTGGAGTGCAGTGGCACTATCTCAGCTCACTGCAACCTCTGCCTCATGGGTTAAATGATTCTCCTGCTTCAGCCTCACAAGTAGCTGGGACTACAGGTGCCCGCCACCACGCCTGGCTAATTTTTGTATTTTTAGTAGAGACGGAGTTTCCCCATGTTGGCCAGGCTGGTCTCGATCTCTTGACCTCATGATCCACCCGCCTCAGCCCCCCAAAGTGCTGAGATGAAGTTGTGAGCCACCATGCTCGGCCAAAGGGTTTATTTGTAAATGGCTATCCCAAGTGATTTAGAGAGAGGGATCAGGTAATCAGGAGAACATGGAAATAAAACAGCTGAGCCTTTACTTACATGTACGTTTGTCTCAAATTCGGAGGTGACGTGGGAGTAGACGGCCAGGGCAGGGAGGGACACCAGGATGGCCCCGATGCAGTGACGCGGCAACCAGCCGGCGACCCACTCCAGCAGGCGCTTGGTGCAAGCCATGACGTCCTCCAGGAAGAACACCATCCTGCAAGAGGGCGGGGTTAGCAGGGGCAACGGGGCCCGGGGTGGGTCATCCGCCTGGAGACGGCATGAGACTGAAGCCAGCACTCCCCTCCGCTCTCTCCCTCGCTGCACCAGGATGGGCTTGGAAGCAGGTGCGGGGGGATCCACCTCCCTCACTTTTGGTGGAAGGCAAGGAAGCCGGGCTTAACTCACTGCACCTGGTTGTAGGGTCACAGGTTGCGTTCTTATAAAATTTGCTTGTGAAAAGCACATGCTTTGCTAGTCTCAGGGAGTAAGTGAGAGTATCACAGGCCCCGAGTCTGGGAGCCACCATGCTGCCGTCACCTGCTCCCATTGGCTTCTGGGGCAGGAGGTCTTGACAGGGGGCAGTTTTGAGGGCACTTGGAGTTCTGTGAAGCCCGTGCAGTTGTCACAGCAGGAGGGGTGCTGGTGGGCAGATGCCAGGGACGGAGGCCTCCTGCATGTGGGTGGGTGTCACCGGGGAGGTTCTGCCCTACACCCCGCACAGCAGCCACGCCCCTGGGCACTCACAAAGATGGAAGGCTGCTGACAGCATCTTAGCCCAGAACCTGTGTCCCATCCACAGACAGAGAGTGCTCTGCGGTGGCGCTCACACACACTGGACTTTCCCGGCGCACGGCCCCTGTGCAAACTGAGTGACGGTGATCTCTATGGTGTTTGGGGCATCGCTGAGGCCTGCCCAGTGGTTCAGAAAATCAAATCACAGGCTGAACCCGGCTCGTGGCACTGGGACCACCAAACCTGCACACGTGTGCTGTCTGCGTCTGGGCTGTCGCATTCACAGTGCATGTGTGAGGCTGGCGGCTTCAGGACTCCCCAGGCAGCGGAGCCCTGTTGTACATGAAGGGCAGCCACGCATTTCATTTTAAAAGGCTTCCTGTTTGTCCTGACGAGTGACGGCAGTCACTGACTCCTGCAGGTGTGTTTAGGCGGGCTCCGTTTCAGGAGTGTGAGGCTGACGAAATAAAAAGCTCTGTATAGAGGAGCTGAGCATGTGGGCCGAGAACCGCTGTGAGGAGCAGGAACAGGTCTTGGCTGAGCCTGGGGACCCCTGGGCCATGGGGGGCCCACGTGGGGAGGTGAGGAGAGTGTGGGGTCCTTGTAGGGAGATAGTCCTTTTCTCAAGCTTGCTGCCAGGGAGCTGGGGACGGGCCTGATGTCCCTGCCTCAGGAGGGGCTGAGGCTGCTGCTGTGACTCAACAGCACAAAGCCCCCCAACCCCACATGCACTTCGGTGGCCCGGCCTTCGGACCTCAACACCTACAGCGTTTCCACCACCTGGCTGTGTCCTGTGGCCAGGTGAGGAAGGGCTGACTCTCCAGCCACTCGCCGCATGGACTCCGGCACAGCCTCACCCGTTCAGGGCCCTGGACAGCCCTGGCTTCCTGATATTTAAAGGATAATGAAGGCTTTGGAGTATTTCCAAGAATAACCACAAATATGCAGAATAGAGGCCCTAGGAGGGAGGACAGACAGAACCCAGTTCCCAGCCAGGAGCAGGAAAGATGTGGGGTGGGGGGGCCTTCACGCTGGTCCTCAAGACAGCAGGGATCTGAGAACAAGAACTGCCGTCCTCAGTGCCATCCTGATGCCTGCCGGGGGGCAAAGCAGTGGGGGAGATGCAGGAAGCCTCCTGGAGGCAGCAGGCGGGGCCTGGGCTGGTCCCTGAGAAGGCGCTTGGCTTCCCTCCTGTGCAGAAAACAGACAGGGCGCCCATAAACCCCACAAGCAGGCTCTCATCAAGCTGGGGTTCTCAAGATGTCCCTCAGGGGGCCAGGGCAGACTTTCAGGATCTGGACGTCTCCTAGGCCTGATGATTCCTGGTAAATGGAACCAAATCCCACCAGACGCCTGGGGAGTGTGTCCATCCAGGCAGGCCCAGCACACCTCGTCCCGGCCCTGGGCAGTGTAGACCGGGTTGGCCTCAACGCTTTAGAACTGGGCCTGAAGAAGCAGGGAGTAATGGCTGAAGGGCGAGAGTAAAAAGGTGTGGAGACAATGCTGGGAGCCCTCAAGAGGCTACAGGCACAGGCATTAGAGGAAGACCTGGGGCAGGCCAGGGAGGGCGGATCTGGGGGAGTGACTGTGCATAGGGACAGGTTTGTTTTTGGGGTGATGGAGGTGCCCGGTGATATTTGCACAACTCTTTACATCTACTAAAAATCACGGAGTTGTCGACTCGAATGAGTGAGTCTGTAATATTGTAAAGCATATTACAATAAAGCTGATCCCTTTCTTTCATTTTGGAGATGGAGTTTTGCTCTGTCACCCAGGCTGGAACGCAGTGGTGCAATCTCAGCTCACTGCAACTTCTACTTCCTGGTTTCAAGCGATTCTCCTGCCTCAGTCTCCAGAGTAGCTGGGATTACAGGCGCCTGTCATCACGCCCAGCTAATTTTTGTACTTTTAGTAGAGGTGGGGTTTCACCATGTTGGCTAGGATGGTTTCAAACTCCTGACCCCAGATTTCGAGAGTGCTGAGATTACAGGCCTGAGCCACCATGCTGATCTTTTTAAAGAGGAAAAACCAACCAACCAGGGCCTGAGGATGACTAGTTTGGGTTTTGGGGAAGCACACCCTGGAAGGGCTTGTGTGTGACAGCTCCTTTGGGAGGGGTCCCCAGAAGCACAGGAGGGCACTGAGGCAGGAGGGGAGGCTGTGCCAGGGAGAGGGCTGCTCACTGTGGGTGCTGGGGCATGAGCCTTTGTGGAGTTCTGGGAAACAGTGAGCACATGCAATAGAGAAGGGCATGGCCCATGGCAGCCTCAGCAGAAGCTGAAAGCGTCCTGCGTACAGTGTGGTTGGGAAGCAGGAGGCAGGAATCCAGCCTGCCCACCCCAGATGGAAAAAGCCAGCTTTCTGGAGCCTCGGGCCAGACCCCAAGCGGTTCTTTTCTGCCCTGGGATGTTGGGTAAGGGCAGCAGAAGCTCAAGGTCAGGGCTGCCTCCGTCGGTCTGTTTGAAGCCCAGCTCCTGAGGGCAGTTGCTAGTGGGGCTCAGCTAGGAAGGCAGCTGTCCTGTTGAAGGTGACAGGGCCATGAAAGGAGTGTGTGGTGCCCAGGAGGTGGACCACACAGGACCACCTGCTTGATCAGGACTACAGGGCTGCTGTGAGCCCCCTCAGGGAGCCGGGCTGGTCTGGAGGGCCTGGCTTCCCAAAATGCACCTATGGTCCACTCGGACCCTCTGTCTCTTTTAAAATGAGTTGCCTTTTCCTTATCCGAGGCCTGATATGCAAATTTTCCCTCCCATTCTGTGGGTTGTTTCACTTTCTGGATGGTGTTCTTTGCAGGACAACAGTTTAAATTCTGAGGAAGCTGACCCTGTCTACTCTTCCTTCTGTTGGCATCATACCCAAGAGAACACCGCCTGATGCAAGCACATGGGACGCTGCTAAGGGGTGTATGTTTGGCTCCTGCACTCTGAAGAGGCGCCTGCGGACCCAGGCCCACCTGCCATTCCCCGCACAGCTCATGTCTTCTCCTTTCCTTCTTCCGGAATCATTTCCTATCTTCTCACCAGCTCCTTTGCAGTCTCTGACCCTGAAGATCCCAGGACCAGCTGGCAGCGGTTGGGGCTGCGAGGGCACTGCCCCCTCCAGCAAGTGGGACCCCTGCACCTGGGCCAGAGTCAGGGAGGGAGGATGCCAGGGCACAGGGCTCAGGGAGTACACGGAGGCCCACCTCCAGAAATCAGCCAGCAGGGACAGCTGGCTCGGGACCAGTCCAACTGCTCAGCCTTAAGTCATGGAGCCAGAAGAGGGAGCTAATGACTCAGAGCTGGAGACCTGGCCCACGAGGCGCCTACCTGACGGACACCGCGAGGGACAGCATCTCCAAAAGCAGGGCCGTGCTGAAGACTGCCAGGGCAGCCGGTGGGGGAGGTGCGGTGGCCGCCCCGTACTTCAGGAAGCAGGTGATGGACAGCGTCAGAAACACTGTGGTCGACAGAAACACGTCCAGGAGGGAGCTGAAGGTGGGACTGGCAAACGTCTTCACGGGGGAGTTCTTGATGACCTGTTTGGAGCAGGAGTGGAGCAGAATGACTGGGCAGCCACTGGCAGCCAGGGGCGCGGTTCAGATGGAGAAACAGCCAACAGGTGCTGAGTGGCTGCTCAGGGCCAGGCCCAGGGTGGGAAGGCTCTAGGAGGGCTGGTTCCCGCTACCACCCATTTTAACACTGAGGAGTCCAAGGCACAGAGAAATTGAACTTGACCAGGAGGGCCGGACATGGTGGCTCACGCCTGTAATCCCGACACGTTGGGAGGCTGAGGCAGGACAGTTGCTGGAGCCCAGGAGTTCAAGGCCAGCCTGAGTAACACAGTGACACCCCATTTCTACACGAAGTTTTAAAATTAGCCAGTGGCAGTGCGTGACTGTGGTCCCAGCTACTTGGGAGGCTGAGGCAGAAGGATCGTGTGAGCCCAGGAGTCTGAGGCCACAGTGAGCTACAATCATGCCACTGCTCTCCAGCCTAGGCAACAGAGCGAGGCCCGGTCTAAAAAAATAAAATAATCAGCCGGGCATAGTGTGTGTGCCTAGTGGTGTGTGTGTTTCTCCCAGATACTTGGGAGGCTGGGGTGGGAAGATTACTTGAGCCCAGGAGTTCGAAGCCACAGTGAAGTATGATCACGCCACTGCAGAATGATAACGTTTCCAAAAAAACCCCAAAAAAAAAAAAAAAAAAACAACCCTGCCAGGGTAACAGAGCAACTGATTACGACCCAGCACGTTCTCATAGACACATTTTATACACACACACACACACACACACACACACACACACATATATATTTTAAATAAAGACGAGGTTTCACCATGTTGGTTAGGCTTGTCTTGAACTCCTGACCTCAGGTGATCTGTCTGCCTTGGCCTCCAAAGTGCTTGGATTACAGGCGTGAGCCACCATGCCCGGCCATATATATATATTTTTAAAGATGGGGTTTCTCCATGATGGCCAGGCTGGTCTTGAACTCCTGACCTCAGGTGATCCACCCACCTCGGCCTCCCAAAGTGCTGGGATTACAGGCGTGAGCCACCACGCCCGGCCAACACATTATATATTTAGCTGAAAGATGAGTTCCTGACTGCTCAGGTGAGGTCTGCATCTGTAAGGCGGTCGCATGAGAGCAATGGGCAGCAAAGCCCTGCCACATGGCGGAGTCCCAGGTTCAGCAGGGGCGAATGGCGGAAGCAGCCGGCAGGAATTTCAGCGGCAGTGGTGACACTTCCGCATATCGTCACCTGGGAGCCTGCGGGGTCTGGCTGTGTGCCAGGGGCCGGGGCCCACATGGAATGATGCCCCTGGACAACTCACACCTGAAGGCGGGAGGGACAGGGATACAAAACGCAGGCAGGTGTGCCAAGTACAGGGGGGAGGCACGCACTAGTGTTCGGGAGTTGAGGGAGAAATCATGATGCTGACATGCCCAAGAGCTGACCAGGCCCAGCCCCCACGGGGCCCTGGAGACGCGAGACCTCCACCGATGCTCCGGACACCTCACAGGCAGGAAACACCACCCATCTCGGTGCACAGACTGGGAGCCTCAGGCCAGGGGCTGCCTCGAGGGCATACAGTGAAGGAGGAACCAGGCCCAAGACTCGGCGTGGACCAGCTGACCCCTGAGCACGCCGCTAACCTAGAGGAAGGTGCAGGGCCCAAAGGTAGGGGCTGTGGCTGGGAGAGAGGGACGCAGCCGATTCAGCTGCTTTCCACTTGGCCTTGCAACTTTCTGGCAACCTCAGAGAGGCCATGGGTGTCTACTCGGCATCCCAGCTGGGCTCGGGGCTGGGGGCAGGGGCTGGAGGTGCAGGGAGTGGAAAGGTCCCACAACAGCCCCGGGTCTGGTGCATGTTCCTCGGGACAAACCTGCTCCAGGTGCCACAGCCACTACTGGGAGCTGGGTGGGAGGGGAGGAGGCGGAGCTTGGACGGTGGGGGCAAAGCTGCCAGTCAGACCTGATGCTAGGCTGCACCCCGGGGGCACGGGTCTGATTCCAGCCCTGGAATCCCCTCAGAAGGTGTGGGAATTTCAGGGGTGACACTGCCCGTGCCCACCCAACTTGGCAGAAGCACACACACATCCCCTCTCCCTGGGGCTCCATCTAGTGCCCATCAGGGGACTCTGTCAGGGCTGGGTGCACGCATGGCTCCTGAGACCTCACTGCCTCACCCACACGTGAGGTCAGAAGGTTTCCACATGGGCTGCTATCCTTCTCAGAGCCCACACCGCCCACCTTCCAAGCCAAGACTCAGGTTCAGGGCCTTTCCCGCTTGGAGCTGCTGTCGCCTCTGTAGAAAGCCCCATCCGTGGATGCTGGCAGGGGCCTGCTCCTCCCTCCACCTCTCTTGAGGTCTCTCCTGCCTGCTCTGCCGCTTCTCAGAAACACCTGCCCGGCCCCAGCCTCTCCCTCTGGGCCACCCCTACCCCTGATGACAGAGGCTCCCCAGGCCCACCTGCCCCGCCCCATGCATCCCGGCAGTGGCAGCGCCACCTGTCCCAGTCCCCCAGAGAACGACGCTCCCCCAGCAGCCCATGTCATGATGTTCTTTTGCCCTCTCTTCCGTGGGCTCCAGACCCGGGGACAGTGCCGTGGGCCAGGCTCCGCCTTGCTTACTGCCCACATCCCAGGGGCTCTGGGTGCGGCCATCCCACCATTATCAAAGCATAGGCTCTGCAGCTGGACTGCCTGGGCTCAAGACCACTCCACCATGACTAGCGATGATACCTACTCACGTGTGCCTCAGTCTCTTACCCAAAACCCAGGATAAACCAGTACCTGCACCTTGTGGGCAGTGGGAAGCTCAGCTAAGAACCTGCCCATGTGGAGCCCCCAGCACAGTGAGTCCCCACGTGAGGGCCAGCTAGAAGGCCCTGGTCCCCGCATCTCTCCTTTCCCCCCGCACCGGGACCCTGTGGCTGCCTGCGCAGTTTCGGTAACAGCCTCCCACCTGTCATGTCATGTGGCCTCCTGTCTTGTCCACACTCTATCACCCTCCAAAACTCAGCTTATACATATCCTTCCTTCCCTTCTTTCCTTCCCTCACTCCCTTCCTTCCTTCCGTTTTATCTTTCTTCCTTTTTTGATGGAGTTTCGCTCTTCTTGCCCAGGCTGGAGTGCAGTGGCAGGGTCTCGGCTCACTGCAACCTCTGCCTCCCGGGTTCGCCTGCCTCAGCTTCCCAAGTAGCTGGCCTTACAGGTGCCTGCCACCACACCTGGCTAATTTCATATTTTTAGTAGAGACAGGGCTTCACCATGTTGGCCAGGCTGGTCTTGAACTCCTGGCCTCAGGCAACCCACCCTCCTTGGCCTCCCAAAGTGCTGGGATTACAGGTATGAGCCACCACGCCTGGCCATGTTTTTCTTCTTTTTGCTGGAAAAGACGGTCTCACTATGTTGCTCAGGCTGGTCTATCTGCTGGCCTCAAGTGATCCTCCTGCCTCAGTCTCCTGAGTAGCTGGGATTACAGGCATGAGTCGGGTGATCTTTATAACACACAGTCTATTCCAGACCCTTCAACAGCTCCTGTGACCTCTGGCATAAAGTCCATGGTGTGGGAGCCATGACCTGGCCCCTGTCACCTCCTGCTGCTCCTGTCCTGCCCTGCCCTGGGATGCATCTGCAGCTCCCTGGACACACTGGGCTCATTGGTATCACTAATGTTTGTGGGTACTGGCCCCACTCTCCAGAATGTTCCCTCCTCCTGCATTCCATTAATTCCTAGTCCTCACACGGAGGCAGACTGAGGAACTCCCTTCTCAGAGTCCCCAGCCTGGGGCTGGTGCCTTGCTGTGTGCTCGGAGGACATTCGCAGACCTCCAGCTCCAAACCTTGTTTCTAATTCCGGCTCCCTAGCGTGGCACATCTTTCCCCCTTCCCTGGCACCAAGAACAGTCCTGGGCAGAGCAGAGGCTGAGCACACATTTGGTGCCAGGAGGAAGGGATGGCAAAGGTGCCTGCTGTTTGGGAGCCTCCGTGGTGCAGCGTGAGGAGTGGCCCGGACACCTGGCTTCAGCCAGACTGCTGGTGTGCGACCCTGGCTATGGGACGGTGGCCACCCGCTCAGCCTTTCTCAGCCCTGGCTTTCTCTTTGGTAAAATGAAGATGATAATCAGCTTTGCCAAAGCCTTGCTGTGAGGATTACATGAGACGATACTCTGCCTTACAAGCTACCAACCAGCCAACTTGCAAGTCCACTCCCGGAGCCGTGCCTGGGACATTAACGGATATTCCCTGTCCCTTGGAGGCAGATGGAAGGGGGCACCTCCCACCCCACGAGGCATGAGCCGCCTCTACCAGGCTCAGCAGGGTCTCTCTAGAGCCCAGGCCAGGACACCACAGTTTGATGAAGACTTGATGGAGGAACCAAGGGAATCAGAGTGAGAAACTCCCTTTGTTCTGAGTGGGGAGGGCGTGCACTCTTGACTTGAGAACACTCAGAGATTAGGTTTGGGTCCAGAAGAGAGAACGCAGTCAGAGAGCCACCAGAATTCAAACCAGCCTCTAGGTTCTGGTATGATTCCTTTCAATAACCCCCTCTGAGCACTTGTGGGTGCTGAGACTGTGCTGGAGGCTGTGAGGAGGGGCTAGGAGAAGACAAGGGGGTCCCACCTCACAAGGCTGAGCATCTAGGGAGGGAGAAGTATGATTCCAGAAATGAACAGGAAAGATTCCAAAATGGCACATGCACGGAGAAGGAAATGTATGAAGGGAAGCCCAGTCCAGTCTGCGGTTGGGGAGAGCTCCTTGGAGGAAGTGGGATTGGGTGATTGAGCTGAGAGGTCAAGGACACGGGGCTAAGGAGGTGGGGGCGCGAGAGGGAATGTGGACCCAGAGTTAGAGAGAGAGGTAAAGGCCTCCTGGGCCCTTCCCAGAGGAAGAAAGCAGGGAGGGCAACAGGTAGGGAAGTTTCGCCCAAGAATCCGTGAGCGGTGGGGTGGGTGCCATGCCAGGGTAGGTTGGTGGGGAGCTCTCCTCCAGGGCAGTTATGTATGTGTGGGGCTCCCTTCCAGGGCAGGTATAGGAGGAGCTCCCTTCCAGGACAGGTCGGGGACCCCCTTTCCAGGGCAGGTGTGGGGGGTTCCTCCCAAGGCATGTGTGTGTGTGTGTGTGTGTGTGTGTGTGTGTGTGTGTGTGTCTTCCAGGACAGGTGTGGGGGTTCCTCCCAAGGCATGTGTGTGTGTGTGTGGGGCTCTTCCAGGACAGGTGGTGGGGGGTTCCTCCCAAGGCATGTGTGTGTGTGTGGGGCTCTTCTAGGACAGGTGTGGGGGTTCTTCCCAAGGCATGTGTGTGTGTGTGGGGCTCCTCCAGGACAGGTGTGGGGGTTCTTCCCAAGGCATGTGTGTGTGGGGCTCTTCCAGGACAGGTATGGGGAGTTCCTCCCAAGGCATGTGTGTTGGGGGGGGGCTCTTCCAGGACAGGTGTGGGGGAGTTCCTCCCAAGGCATGTGTGTTGGGGGGGGCTCTTCCAGGACAGGTGTGGGGGGGTTCCTCCCAAGGCATGTGTGTGTGTGTGTGTGTGTGTGTCTCTTCCAGGACAGGTGTGGGGGGGTTCCTCCCAAGGCATGTGTGTGTGTGTGGGGCTCTTCCAGGACAGGTGTGGGGGTTCTTCCCAAGGCATGTGTGTGTGTGTGTGTGTCTCTTCCAGGACAGGTGTGGGGGTTCTTCCCAAGGCATGTGTGTGTGGGGCTCTTCCAGGACAGGTATGGGGAGTTCCTCCCAAGGCATGTGTGTTGGAGGGGGGGCTCTTCCAGGACAGGTGTGGGGGAGTTCCTCCCAAGGCATGTGTGTTGGGGGGGGGCTCTTCCAGGACAGGTGTGGGGGGGTTCCTCCCAAGGCATGTGTGTGTGTGTGTGTGTCTCTTCCAGGACAGGTGTGGGGGGGTTCCTCCCAAGGCATATGTGTCTGGGGGCTCTTCCAGGACAGGTGTGGGGGGTTCCTCCCAAGGCATGTGTGTGGGGGGGTTCCTCCCAAGGCATGTGTGTGTGGGGCTCTTCCAGGACAGGTGTGGGGGGGTTCCTCCCAAGGCATGTGTGTGGGGGGGTTCCTCCCAAGGCATGCGTGTGGGGCTCTTCCAGGACAGGTGTGGGGGGGTTCCTCCCAAGGCATGTGTGTGGGGGCTCTTCCAGGACAGGTGTGGGGGGGTTCCTCCCAAGGCATGTGTGTGTGGGCTCTTCCAGGACAGGTGTGGGGGAGTTCCTCCCAAGGCATATGTGTCTGGGGGCTCTTCCAGGACAGGTGTGGGGGGGTTCCTCCCAAGGCATGTGTGTGGGGGCTCTTCCAGGACAGGTGTGGGGGGGTTCCTCCCAAGGCATGTGTGTGTGTGTGTGTGTGTCTCTTCCAGGACAGGTATGGGGAGTTCCTCCCAAGGCATGTGTGTGTGTGTCTCTTCCAGGACAGGTGTGGGGGGGTTCCTCCCAAGGCATGTGGGGGGTGGGCTCTTCCAGGACAGGTGTGGGGGGGTTCCTCCCAAGGCATGTGTGTGTGTGTGTGTCTCTTCCAGGACAGGTATGGGGAGTTCCTCCCAAGGCATGTGTGTGTGTGTCTCTTCCAGGACAGGTGTGGGGGGGTTCCTCCCAAGGCATATGTGTCTGGGGGCTCTTCCAGGACAGGTGTGGGGGAGTTCCTCCCAAGGCATATGTGTCTGGGGGCTCTTCCAGGACAGGTGTGGGGGAGTTCCTCCCAAGGCATGTGTGTGGGGGCTCTTCCAGGACAGGTGTGGGGGGGTTCCTCCCAAGGCATGTGGGGGGTGGGCTCTTCCAGGACAGGTGTGGGGGTTCTTCCCAAGGCCTGTGTGTGTGTGTGTGTGTCTCTTCCAGGACAGGTATGGGGAGTTCCTCCCAAGGCATGTGTGTGTATGTCTCTTCCAGGACAGGTGTGGGGGGGTTCCTCCCAAGGCATGTGGGGGGTGGGCTCTTCCAGGACAGGTGTGGGGGAGTTCCTCCCAAGGCATGTGTGTGTGGGGGGGGGTTCCTCCCAAGGCATATGTGTCTGGGGGCTCTTCCAGGACAGGTGTGGGGGGGTTCCTCCCAAGGCATGTGTGTGGGGGCTCTTCCAGGACAGGTGTGGGGGGGTTCCTCCCAAGGCATATGTGTCTGGGGGCTCTTCCAGGACAGGTGTGGGGGGGTTCCTCCCAAGGCATGTGTGTGGGGGCTCTTCCAGGACAGGTGTAAGGGGGTTCCTCCCAAGGCATGTGGGGGGTGGGCTCTTCCAGGACAGGTGTGGGGGGGTCCTCCCAAGGCATGTGTGTGTGTGTGTGTCTCTTCCAGGACAGGTATGGGGAGTTCCTCCCAAGGCATGTGTGTGTGTGTCTCTTCCAGGACAGGTGTGGGGGGGTTCCTCCCAAGGCATGTGTGTGTGTGTGTGTCTCTTCCAGGACAGGTGTGGGGGGGTTCCTCCCAAGGCATGTGTGTGTGTGTGTGTCTCTTCCAGGACAGGTGTGGGGGAGTTCCTCCCAAGGCATATGTGTCTGGGGGCTCTTCCAGGACAGGTGTGGGGGGGTTCCTCCCAAGGCATGTTGGGGGTGGGCTCTTCCAGGACAGGTGTGGGGGTTCTTCCCAAGGCATGTGTGTGTGTGTCTCTTCCAGGACAGGTGTGGGGGGGTTCCTCCCAAGGCATGTTGGGGGTGGGCTCTTCCAGGACAGGTGTGGGGGTTCTTCCCAAGGCATGTGTGTGTGTGTCTCTTCCAGGACAGGTGTGGGGGAGTTCCTCCCAAGGCATATGTGTCTGGGGGCTCTTCCAGGACAGGTGTGGGGGGGTTCCTCCCAAGGCATGTGGGGGGTGGGCTCTTCCAGGACAGGTGTGGGGAGTTCCTCCCAAGGCATGTGTGTGTGTGTCTCTTCCAGGACAGGTGTGGGGAGTTCCTCCCAAGGCATGTGTGTGTGTGTCTCTTCCAGGACAGGTGTGGGGGGGTTCCTCCCAAGGCATGTGGGGGGTGGGCTCTTCCAGGACAGGTGTGGGGGTTCTTCCCAAGGCATGTGTGTGTGGGGCTCTTCCAGGACAGGTATGGCGAGTTCCTCCCAAGGCATGTGTGTGTGTGTCTCTTCCAGGACAGGTGTGGGGGGGTTCCTCCCAAGGCATATGTGTCTGGGGGCTCTTCCAGGACAGGTGTGGGGGGGTTCCTCCCAAGGCATGTGGGGGGTGGGCTCTTCCAGGACAGGTGTGGGGGGGTTCCTCCCAAGGCATGTGGGGGGTGGGCTCTTCCAGGACAGGTGTGGGGGGGTTCCTCCCAAGGCATGTGTGTGGGGGCTCTTCCAGGACAGGTGTGGGAGTTCCTCCCAAGGCATGTGTGTGGGGGGGCTCTTTCAGGAAAGGTTGGGGGGGTCCCTTCTAGGGCAGGTGTGAGGGGTTCCTCCCAAGGCATGTGTGTGTATGGGGGGCTCTTCCAGGACAGGTTGGGGGGGTCCCTTCCAGGGCAGGTTTGGGGGCATCCCTTCCAAGACTGGGATAGCCACAGGGTCCTGGAAACACTATTGCAGAGGAAAGGGTCTGGTAATGGCAAGGATGCACTTTAAGACAAAAGACCAAAGAAAGGTTTTTTTTTTTCTTCCTTTACAAAGAGAAACCCACATACAGTTGCCACTTAGGGTTTACAGAGTGTGGGAAATCAGTGTCAGCCTTCATGTCCCTATCCCCTGCTAAAGCACAAAACTAACAGTGAATGACCCGGTGAGAACAACGGACACGTTCTTTAGCAAAAGCACAGGAAAAACGAACGCACCTCTTCCTGATAGCTGCTCCTGTAGGATCGCTCCAGCTCCTGATCCAGGAAGTTCAGGCTGAACTGATTAATGGGTGGCTTAAAAAAATAATCTTTCATCAGGCTGGAAGACACAATAAACGCAGTCCATCAACATCCAGCACCGTCATCGGATTGATTTGTTTCAGAAGATCACAATTAGCTACCAAAACGCTGCTCATTAGGTATATTACAACAGCGGCTTCTCCAAGTGCCTGTGTGACAGACACCGCTCAGCGGCCCCCCCCGTTAAAACAGACCTCTGGGCGGAGCACGCTGGCTCACGCCTGTAATCCCAGCACTTTGGGAGGCCAAGGCGGGTGGATCACCTGAGGTCAGGAGTTTGGGACCAGCCTGGCCAACATGGTGAAACCTTGTCTCTACTAAAAGTACAAAAAATTAGCCAGGCATAGTGGCAGGTGCCTGTAATCTTAGCTACTCATGTGGTAGAAGAATCACTTAAACCCAGGAGGTGGAGGCTGCAGCGAGCTGAGATTGAGCCATTGCACTCCAGCCTGAGCAACAAGAGCAAAACTGTGTCCCAAAAAAAAAAAAAAAAAAAAAAAATCAACAAAACAACAGCTCTCTGGAAAGTCCTTTGTGCTTCTAAGCTTGATATTTTGTATTCCACTTCTGATAAAGAATGGCCACCCACCATGATGACACACATCATCAGAGCAGTGGGTTTTGGTTTGTTCTTTCTTTGAGGCAGGGTCTCACTCTGTCGCCCCGGCTGGAGTGCAATGGGACAGCAGTCTCGGCTCACTGAACCCTCCGCCTCCCGGGTTCAAGCGATTCTCCTGCCTCAGCCTCCCGAGTAGCTGGGACTACAGGTGCGCGCCACCACGCCCAGCTAATTTTTGTATTTTTAGTAGAGACGGGATTTCACTATTTGGTCAGGATGGTCTTGAACTCCTGGGCTCAAGAGATCTGCCCACCTCGGCCTCCCAAAGTGCTGGGATGACAGGCGTGAGCCGCTGAGGCTTGTTTTTGAAAACACGTTTCTAAGGCCCAGGACTAAGAAGAAGAAGGCAGCTTTTCTGTTTTGTGAAATAATCTTTTGTGAAGAACATGCAGATCACTGTGCTGAGAGTACTTACACTGATTTGGAGGCTTCGAAATGAAAACATAATTCAGAACCGCGGCCCTGCCATTCAGAGCACTGACAGTAATTGCCACCGGAAAAGCTAACAGGTTGTTATCACAAAATTGTGTTTATAGTTAGTGTAATTTTGGTGCTATTGTCACATATGCAGATTGCATGTGAAACCTGAGAAATGATAAAGCTCAGTGATTTTAATAGCAGGGAAATCAAACCCGCTTTCCCTGACTCTTTCGTTCATTTATGAATTGCCAGCAAACAGTAATATCCTTTTGATACTGCAGAAAATGACTAGAAACTTAAGGGAATGATAACACGATTTCAGAAAGCAAATATAGCTGCATTAATCCCTCTCTCTCATACGGGGACTATCACAAGTAAATCAGATGAGGCCAGGCATGGTGGTTTATCCCTGTAATCACAGCACTTTGGGAGGCTGAGGCGGGTGGATCACTTGAGGTCAGGAGCTCGAGACCAGTCTGGCCAAGATGGTGAAACCCTGTCTCTACTAAAAATACAAAAATTAGCCAGGCATGGTAGAGGGTGCTTGTAGTCCCAGCTATTCAGGAGGCGGAGGCAGGAGAATTCCTTGAACCTGGAAGACGGAGTTTGCAGTGAGCTGAGATCGTGCCACTGCTCTCTAGCCCGGGTGACAGAGTGAGACCGTGTCTCAAAAAAAAAAAGACGTAAATCAGATGAAATATGTGAAGTGCCTCGAGTGCACCTGACATAAAGCAGAGCTCACCACATGTGTGCTCTGCTCCTTCCTCTCCCTGCAGCCTAGCAGACGCTCTGTTCTGTGAACATACGGAATAATTTTCTACATTCTCAGACTCAGATGAGAAATAATTCTGTCCCAGGATGCCGACCCTCACTACTCTCCTGACTCAGGGGATGAGGACAGAGGGAAGAGCAACCAAGCAGCTGCGGGGAGGATGTGCACAGGGCCACATTCTAACAGCCAAGTGGCAGAAGCGACACTGCTATAAGCTGTGCTGCTCCTTTATTTATGTATTTTTTGAGAGGGAGTCTCACTCTGTCACCCAGGCTGGAGTGCAATGGCACGATCTCAACTCACTGCAACCTCAGCCTCCCAGGTTCAATCAATTCAATCGAAGCAATTCTGTCTCAGCCTCCCAAGCAGCTGTGACTACAAACGCGTGCCACCATGCACAGCTAAGTTTTTGTATTTTTTTTTTTTTTTGAGACAGAGCCTCGCTCTGTCACCCAGGCTGGAGTGCAATGGCACGATCTCAACTCACTGCAACCTCAGTCTCCTGAGCTCAAGTAATTCTCCTGCCTCAGCCTCCCAAGCAGCTGTGACTATAGGCACATGCCACCATGACTGGCTAAGTTTTTGTAGTTTTAGTAGAGACGGGGTTTCACCGGGTTAGCCAGGATGGTCTAGATCTCCTGAACTCATGATCTGCCTGCCTCGGCCTCCCAAAGTGCTGGGATTACAAGCGTGAGCCACCACAACCAGCATTTTTGTATTTTTAGTAGAGATGGGGTTTCGCCCTTTTGGCAGGCTGGTCTTGAACTCCTGACCTCAGGTGATCCACCTGCCTCGGCCTCCCAAAGTGCTGGGACTACAGGCATGAGCCACTGCACCGGCTGAAAATAACCCTCTGAAGCATCATAGTGAAGACTGTTTGAGGCAAGAATCATCAATGAATGTTAAACCAGGGAATTCTGATGGGGAATGAAATATTTACAAGATCTTAAAGTTCTTCCCACAGATTGCTTATTAGTCATAAGGGGAAGATAATAACCCTGGATGAGAGAACCTGGCACCACCTTGCCTAATTAATCAAAATTAGTATCACTAATGAGGAACAGGTGGGCATGGCCTGTCCCTGGAGGGGACCCCCTGAGAAGGACATGGCATCCCTTCTGCAGTCTCTGCCTGGCCAGAGGGAGAGCCTGAATCCAACCAATCCAACTTCAGGAATGTCTGATAGAAGGACGGCATCTGTGTTGTTCATAAATGTTAACATTAGTCCAGGCATGTTGCTCATGCCTATAATCCTAGCACTTTGGGAGGCCGAAGCGGGTGCATCACCTGAGGCTAGGAGTTTGAGAGCAGCCTGGCCAACATGGTGAAACCTCTTCTCTATTAAAAATACAAAAATTAGCTGGGCGTGGTGGTGTGCACCTCTAGTCCGGGCTACTTGGGAGGCTCAGGTAGGAGAATCACTTAAACCCAGGAGGTGGAGGTTGCAGTAAGCCAAGATGGAACCACAGCACTCCATCTTGAGCAACAGAGCAAGACTCATTTTTTTTTTTAAACGCGGTGGCTCACACCTGTAATCCCAGCACTCTGGGAGGCCAAGGCAGGTGGATCACCTGAGGTCAGGAGTTCGAGACCAGCCTGCCAAAAGGGTGAAACCCCATCTCTACTAAAAATACAAAAATTAGCTGGGCATGGTGGTATGCACCTGTAATCCCAGCTATTAGGGAAGCTGAGGCAGGAGAATCACTTGATCCTGGGAGGTGGAGGCTGTAGTGAGCCGACATCACACCACTGCAGTCCAGCCTGGGCGACAGAGTCAGGCTGTCTCCAGGAAAAAAAGGAAAAAGGCAGAGGGGCTACTGCCTGTAACCGCTGCTTCTCCCCAGCCGGCCCCAGTCTTACCTGTCTTCCTTGATGACGTCTACGAAGTGGGCATCCGTTTTCTCCCGGATATTCTTGAACCTCAGCGGAAGGAGAGCTGACTGGTCCAGGCTCACCCCTGCCCACCTTCCCTTCTCCTGCAAGATCTCACACAGAGATGTCTGACTGTTGGTGAGCTTCTCCTCCTGGGGAGGGCTCAGGAGCCCGTTCTGAGTTTTGGGATTAGATCCTCCAGAAGCCTGCCTCGAGACAAAGAGGGCGCAAACACAGGAAGTGAAGTGGCACCGGGTGCGCGTGCCTATCCTGCCCCAATCTCTGCCATTCGGGGCCCTGCTGTACTGTTTGCGGGACCTTCTGACCTTCGAGGGGCTCTCCAACCCCCTGCACCTGCAGACCTGCTCTAATCCCAGCCCTGCTGGCCTGTCTGCTCCTCCCTGTCACCCAATAGTGCCCAGTGGCAATGCTGGGTGTTTAGGCCACCAGGAAAGTGAGATGTGGGAAGAGTCAGTGAGGAGGTGGAGGGCAAGGGAGGAAAGTGAGGAACCAGAACCAGGATTCCGGGGGCAGTGTACACGGGTCGGGGGGCCGGGGGAAGTGTGATGAGGGCCCAGGGCTGTCAGGGCATGGCCCGGGGAAGATGGTTGGAAATGGGTGTGTGTCATAGGTGTCCACCACAGCTGTGGGAAGACACGGGTTGACCTGCACCCGCAGTCCCTTGGCAGATGGAGAGGGGATGGAGGACAACAGAGCCTGCGCCCCAGGGACATCGCCTGCATGAGCCCTCCTGGCAGGGTCTCGCGGGTGGGCTCAGTCCTGGCCCTGGTGTCTGAGTCTGGTTTTCCGGGCAGCCTTTGTGCCACCTGCCCTACCTCCCACCCTCTCTTCACTGAGCCTTTCTCCCAGTGAAGACCACCTCTTGTCTCTGCCCGTATTCTACCACAAATTGAGTCTAGCTTCCAGCACCACTAATCCCTGCAAACACTCAAATCCCCGCATTTTAAACTCTTATTGGCCTTTAGGGGAGTCCCGCCCAGCTCAGCCACTGAGCGCTGCACTCCACGTGGGTTCCTGCCGACCCTCCCCCATGCTCCCTGCCGCTCTCTTCAATGCCCAGAGGACCCGTGGGTGGGGAATGGTGTTACCCAGGAGTTACTCTCAGAACTAAGAAGTTGACAAGACAGGAATGTCACCTTGGGTGGATGCGCCAGCAGAGGAACTGACAGGAACAACAGCCATGAGCTTGTTACCTTGGTGCTGTTTTTATGCTCGTCTTGGCAGCCGTTTTGAGGTGCTCCTCCCTCGGCGCCGGCTTCGGATTTGGGAGCAAATGTGATTCCGCATGAAGAGCAGGTCTAGAAGAAAAACACAGATCGTGGGAACACACCGAGAAACCGAGACTGCCACCCTCCATTCAGGCCGGTCCACTGTTGCTGCTGCCGTCTGCCATTGTGCGGCACGGTGGTGAGCAAGGGCAAGGCGTACGGAGCCACTCGGGGTGACCTGAAAGCCGACTGGCAAAGTGATCACGGAAACGCACAAAAACCCGTGCATGAACGCACGTGGCAGCATGACCCAAAAATGGAATGTTCACTCACTGAACAATGGATCGACAAACTGTGGTCTATTCGAACAATGGAATATTACTCAGCCGTGAAAAAGACAGAAGCACTGACACCCATCACAGCACAGGGGAACCTGAAAAACGTCATGCTCAGGGAGGGAAGCCAGACATGGCACAGATGTGATGTGATCCCGTCCTCACAAAATACTCCGAAAAGGTGAATCCTTAGTGGGGGAGGCAGATTCATGGCTGCCAGCAGGGACAGGGAGGAGGAATGGGGAGTGACTGCTAAGGGATGTGGGGTTTGCTACGGTCCTAATGTGTGTGTCCCCCCAAAAGTCAGATGCTGAAATCCTAACTCCCAAGGTGATGGCATTGGGGGGCAAAACCTTGGGAGGTAATCAGGTCATGGGGGACAAGCCCTCAAAATGGGATTGGTGCTTTCATACAAGAGGCCCCAGAAGAATCCCTCCTCTTTTCCACCCTGGGGGGGCACCATCTATGAGACAGGAACGGGTCCCTACCAGACACTGAACCTTCTGGGACCTTGATCTTGGACTTCCCAGCCTCCGGAACTGTGAGAAATACATTTCTGTTCTTTAAAAGCCACCTGGTTTGTGGTATTTCATTATAGCAGCTGGAATGAACTAAGATGGGGCTTCACTTTGGGATGATAAAAATATTCTCAAATTGATCACGGTGATGGCTGAACAATCTTGCTAAATATGCTAAAAACCACCGAAAGGTACACTTTAAAAAGGTTGATTTAAAAAATTTTTTTGCGACAGAGTTTCACTCCTGTCGCCCAGGTTGGAGTGCAGTGGCATGATCGTGGCTCACCGCAACCTCCACCTCCTGGGTTCAAGCCATTCTCCTGTTTCAACCTCCTGAGTAGCTGGGACTACAGGCACGTGCCACCACACCTGGCTAATTTTTTGTATTTTTAGTAGACGCAGGGTTTCACCATGTTGGCCAGGCTGGTCTTAAACTCCTAACCTCAGATGATCCACCCATTTCGGCCTCCCAAAGTGCCAGGATTACAGGGACGAGCCGCGGCGCCTGGTGAAAAAGATAAACTTTATAGTATGTGAACTGTATCTCAACAGCGCTGTTATTAAGTAAATAAACTGTCCACCAGCTATGCCAGCCCACAAATCCGAGGTTCTCAAGCTCTGCGTGACGGTGAGCTAGTCTCATAAGATGGGCTGAATCATCAGAGGTGCATGATTTCCAGATCTAGGAGTGCTTCAAAGTTATGGGAGTTAACTGTCATAGGACAGAGACGGCAAGATTTAATACAGGTACACCAGGAAGAGCAAAGACTTTATTTTTCACGTATTAGGGTTCAAACGCTAGTCAATTACTTACTAGCTTGGAGACTCTTCAAATCACTTTACCCCAGTTCCCTCATCTATAAGAAAGAGTGAAGATATGTTGTTAAGAATTAAATGAAACGGGCTGGGTGTGGTAGCTCACACCTGTAATCCCAGCACTTTGGGAGGCTGGGGTGGGAGGATGACTTGAGTCCAGGAATTTGAGACCAGCCTGGGCAACATGGCAAAACCGTGCCTCTACAAAAAGGAGAAAAATTAGCCTGGCATGGTGGTGTGTGCCTGTAGTCCCAGCTACTTTTGGGGCTGAGGTGGGAGGATTGCATGAGGCTGGGAGGTCAAGGTTGTAGTGAGCTATGAAGGCGCCACTGCACTCCAGCCTGGGGCAACAGAGAAAGACCCTGTCTTAAAAAAATAATTATTAAATGAAGTAAGTATATATACATATAGCCTAGCACAGTTCCTGGCATACAGTGTACCCTGAATAAAGTTTATCATTATTATTGATGTGACCCAGTAACCTAGGAAGTGTCTAAGAAAGCAACTAACAGCTTCCAGTGAAGACAAACAGTGGCAAGAATGATTTTTTTTTTTTTTGAGATGGAGTTTCGCTCTTGTTACCCAGGCTGGAGTGCCATGGCGTAATCTCGGCTCACCGCAACCTCCGCCTCCCGGGTTCAGGCAATTCTCCTGCCTCAGCCTCCTGAGTAGCTGGGATTACAGGCACGCGCCACCATGCCCAGCTAACTTTTTGTATTTTTGGTAGAGACGGGGTTTCACCTTGTTGACCAGGATGGTCTCGATCTCTTGACCTCGTGATCCACCTGCCTCGGCCTCCCAAAGTGCTGGGATTACAGGCTTGAGCCACCGCGCCCAGCCAAGAATGATTTTTATAATTTTTTTCTTTTTGTTTTTTATAGAGTGCTTCATTAGCAACGCAGAAGGAAAGATTTTTTTTTTTTTTTTAGGACTCAAAAGCAATTTTCTTACAGTAAGAACTGTAAAACAGTTATGAAATGAATTCTGGGAAGCCAGATATTATTTTGGAAATTTAAAATCAGTGTCATTACCTAAGGGCAAAGACATGGCCCGAGTTATCTTTTAAGTCAAACTGCAGGCCTATACTGTATTGAATAAAAGAAATAAGGATTCAACAGGGTTGTACAGTTTGAGAACCTAATGTAACACACAAGCTAAATTTGAACATTTGTATGCATTCAAAAAATGGAAATATACATGCCACGATAGCTAGTGAAATCATTAACGAGCATATCTGAGCAAATAACGGCACCCAGATAACATCTGCTTACAGCTCTTTAACAACGGGCCTTATCAACAGAGGTAAAATGTTCCAGCTGTCAGTGACATGCAGTGAGATTATTTTAAAGCATCTCTTGGTATTGACTGACAGAGTTAAACTTCAAAACATTTTGCTGCTCAGGCGCAGTGGGTCACACCTGTAATCCCAGCATTTTTGGAGGCTGAGGCAGAAGGATGGCTTGAGGCCAGGAGACCAAGACCAGCCTGGGCAACGCAGAGAGATCCTGTCTCTACCAAAAATAAAACATATTAGCTGAGCGTGGTGGCATGTGCCTGTGGTCCTAGCCACTCGAGAGGCTGAGGCAGGACTGCTTGAGCCCAGGAGGTCAAGGCTGCAGTGAGCTGTGATTGCACCACTGCACTCCAGCATGGTACACACACACATGCACACACACACAGACACAAAGCCAATGAGACCACTGATCTTATTAAATGAAAAACAATCTAATACCAAGAGACAAATAGAGCAGACGTGCCTGATACGCAGGCCTAAAAGATCCCCGAGGGGGCTGGGCGTGGTGGTGACTGTAATCCCAGCACCTTGGGAGACCAAGGTGGGCAGATCATTTGAGGTCAGAAGTTTGAGACCAGCTTGATCTACATAGTGAAACCCCATCTCTCCTAAAATAAATTAGCCAGGCTTGGTGGCAGGCACCTGTAATCCCAGCTACTCAGGAGGCTGAGGCAGGAGAATCGCTTGAACCCAAGAGGCAGAGTTTGCAGTGAGCCTAGGGCTACTGCACTCTAGCCTGGGTGACAGAACAAGACTCCCTCTCAAAGGAAAAAAAAAAAGATCCCTGAAGGAACTCTCTGATGTGGCTAAGGTGGGGGGCTTGGTGCTGGAGGGGGCATAGCAGCCATTTCAGGGACCAGCTGATAGGTCAGGAAAGGGAGCTGGAGGTGTGGAAGCGTTTCCCGCACTTGGCTCAGCACGAAGCCTGAACCCGGTGCCAGCGAGTGCTCAGTAACTGCTGGTACCGAATATGAAAACCTCTGCTGTCTATTCTTCTGTAGCCATTTCGTCACGGGAATCTCCTGGCCTCAGTCTGTTTCAGGGATGTTTCTTGCCTCAAGTTCATCTGCTGTGCTTTTCTTTCTTTTGTTTGTGTCACTCTGTCGCCCAGGCTGGAGTGCAGTGAGTGGTGTGATCTCGGGTCACTGCAAACTTTACCTCCAGGGTTCAAGCGATTCTGCTGCCTCATCCTCCTGAGTAGCTGGGATTACAGGCGCCCACCACCACACCAGCTAATTTTTGTATTTTCAGTAGAGACGGTTTCATCATGTTGGCCAGGCTGGTCTCGAACTCCTGGCCCTCAAGTGATCTGCCTGCCTCGACCTCCCAAAGTGCTGGGATTACAGGTGTGAGCCACTGGGCCCTGCCAACCCTGCTGTGCTGTAAGACGAGGCCTCCTGCTTCTTCAGTGCCCCGCAAGGCACATGGGCTTTCCCAGCTTTATAAGATGTTCTACGCATTTAGAGCCAACTAACCTGTACCAGCGGGTACCTTCTCTGCAAGGGCTTCCCTAGGAGGGCTGGAAGGCTGGTGGAGCCTGGGAACGCCTGCTGGGATGAGGCTGATCTCTGGGGTGCCTGGGGCTGTGGTCTCCACAGGTGGGGAACTCAGTGCTTTGCTTACAATCCTCCTGAACAGACGCTGAGGCCTGCACCCTGCGGTGACAAGAAGTTCTGATACAGAAGAGAAGTCTTGCAGAGCTGCCCACAAATGGCAAACGAGGCTGCGCCTGAGGAAGTAAGGGGCTGTCTGGGTCACGCGGCCAGCTGTAGACACCCACGGTGGGGTCCTGAGGGCTGGGACAGTGCTCACTCCCTATTCCATTCCAAGCAGGTTTGTCCAGGAAGTGGGGGCATGGGAGGCAGGAGCTGGCCCCACTGAGCAGCGTGGGCCCGTGGGCCTGTGTCATCCGGACCCAGCAGCCATCATTTTGCTGCACTTCGAACATGTGGCCTTTAGCCGGGCGCAGTGGCTCATGCTTGTAATCCCAGCACTTTGGGAGGCCAAGGGGGGCAGATCATGAGGTCAGGAGTTTGAGGCCAGCTTGGTCAACACAACGAAACCCCGTCTCTACTAAAAATACAAAAATTAGCCGGGGTGTGATGGCATGGACCTGTAATCCCAGCT